AATGTATCTACACATAGATAGCTCTGCCTTACCTGATTTCATCTTTACTTGAATTGGCGGGAAAATGTATTTTTACTAGTGCTATGAATATCGATGGTTATTTTTATTATAAACATTATAATTACTATAATGTTATAAACATTAGTATCAGCAAAATAAGATAACGCAAAATATTTTCGTAAATTAAAGAAATGGGTAAACAGGCGAGACAGGCAGTACATAGATGTAGCCATCTATGTGTTAAAGTAATGAAACAGCACCAACTGGTAATGCATTCGCGCTTAATATCACATATTTTGGTGTATCTCTCCATATGTTCATGCGTAATCAATTCCTTCTTTTTTTTATCTAGTCATTCTGAGTGTGTTTGCGTATTTATGTGCGTATGCACGGGTGTATATATGTGCATGCGCTCGTGTATGTTTCTTTATGTGCAAAAGCATGTCTGACATTATGAAGTATTGCATTACACTTCGAAAATATTCCCAGACAATTCCTACTCGTTTGATGCATTGTTCAAATACGAAGATCAGGCAATGATTTCAAATTCTTGGTTTTATTTGAATCCTTCATCTCACAGGCCTCTGCCATTATGAATGAACATATTAGCAACAAAAATCATGCTGCATGTCAAGGCAAAAATGACGCCGACCTGGCAAACGCAGGAAGGGATGAATTGCTTGGAAAGGCTACGCAAATCTGTGTCGAGGAAATTAAAATGGAGTGGGAAAAAAATACATGGGCGAAAAACAAAAACAAGTAATCAATCTTTAGAGGATTTTAATCAAGGTGGCCAGAATCTTTACGCCGAAACTGATGCACGTTTAGTACTTTTTTGAGAATTTCCCTCCCTCCTCCCCCAAAAATAAAGTCTACGGATCTACACTCCCAAAACCTGTGCAGTTAGTCAGAGAATTAAAAACACAGATTCGCAATAAACACTGGGAACAATAGACAAACTTCTGTAGCTGACATATGGAGAAAAATTAATAGCTGACAGGTAAAGCTCTCGCAACACCGCAGTTTCACAGTCCACAAGAACAGGCTAATATGCTGCTTGAGCCGTGGGCCGGAAATTCTCAGATAAACTCACTTCCACAAGGGATAAAAGATCAGTTAAACAAGTCGAAAAGAGATAGAAATTTTAATATGGCAGTAGCCTGTGCTGCTATTGACCCCAACCGACTTTGCCGAAATAACCGGAATTGATTAATGCCCTTCTGAAATGGAAGGCAACCGCCCCCTGGCGAGGATGGCATCACTTACAGTGTCCTTCGCCTCATAGCGTAGGTATCACTTTTACACCTGTATAGACTCAGCCTAACACAAGGAATCCTCCCAAGCTCCTGGACTAAAAGCTTAATCCTTCCTCTACCTAAACCCAATACTGACAAATACAGGCACAGTTCCTTTACCTCCCTGCCCGTGCAAAGTACTTGAGAGAATGATTCTGAACAGACTTAACAAACTCAAGCCCAGGCAAAGCTTATATCTTGATCTTCAATCTGCTTTTGATATTGCAAACAGAGAAATTATTCTTAAGCAACTAGCTAGTTTTGGTACTCAGGGAACACTGTTAACATGGATTCAAACGTTTCTATCGAATCGATCGGCTCAGGTTCTCTTCATAAACTCATACAAAAGTATTTGAACTTGGCACACCTCAGGGAGACGTACTTAATCCCATGGTATTTAATATCCTAATACATAGATTACTGAGCGATATACCACTTGAGGGAAATGATTCCATTATTTGCTATACCTATGATATTTGCCTTAAATCCTCATCCGAAGAGAGAATGCAAGAGATTCTAGATATACTTTCAGCGAGGACTATGGAGTTTGGCTTGGTAATCTCGACTGAAAAAAACAAGGCACTTAACCCAAAAACAGTCCCTTTGCCAAGGTTTCATGTAAATGGCATTGAGCTAGATCTTTGCCACCAGTGCAAATACCTCGGGTTGATTGTTAATTGTTGATTATTGAGACTGTGGGACCGAATGAAGCCACTTAGGACACCTGTTGGCAAAGACCATGGTATCAATGTCAATATTGCGAGACTCTTTTACTTGTCATACATACGGTCAGTCACAGATTATCGTGCATTGCACCTAATATTTTTCAAGGAGTCAGAGTTAATTAGTTTAAAAACTGAGGCCATGAGGATCATTCTTCGTGCCCCTAGAATATCTCAACTTAATTTACCTTCTGTTTACGAAAGAATATTATACATAAATACCACATTTAGTAGCAAGTCAATTAGAGAACCTCAGTTGTACATAGTTCCAACGACAACTAAAACAAAGAATACAGGAGCTAACTTTGAATGACAATACCGATTTATATTCAAATCCAAACACTTACCTCAGCTGAACATACCCATAACTTAGACCATACTTGGACGTTCTGTTCCACCGTGGGGAATGTCGGACCTAAATGTATATTATACGACTGCCCCCAATAAAAGACAGTATCCCCCCTGCTATATTTAAGCAGTATGCACTTGCACTTATAAAGGAGCATCATGAAATCCATATGAATGCTACACTGACGGATCCTTGCAGTCTGGGAGCAGAGCAGGATGCGCTCTTGTTGTATATCCCAATGGCGCCGGGTGTACAAAACAAAAAAACAAAAAAAAAAAAAAAACTCTGCGCTTAAGCAAACAAAGGCGGCGCGCCGACTTTGAGCGCGTGAGTAGGGGACATCAGCCCGAATCACTGGCTCGCCGCCGGCTTGTTTGGCTGCACGCCAGCTTTCGAGCACTTTGTTTACACGCCGATCGGCGTCACCCGGCACCAAGGGGATATGAAAACAATATTTTGCAGTTGGCAGGAATATTCATGGCCACCGAATTTCTATTGAATCAAGGCTCAGGGGTCATTTTCTGCGATTCACAGAGTTCTATTCAGGATCTGAACACTCTAGACAAAAGTATAGGAAATATTGCAAATGACAGGGTAACCGTGTATCGTACAATAGAACGAGGCCATGATATACGTTTTGTGTGGATCCCATCATATGTTGGAATCCCTAGGCATGATCATGCTGATCGCCGAGCAAAGTCAGCATGTGACAAGCAAAGTGTGGATATAGATCTTGGGGTACCTCTTTCTAGGATTTTATGCATCATTAAAGCTTCCTTCAAAGAGGACTTGACTGAGTTATTTACTTCTCAACGCTCTGAAAGCTATTGCATAAAGCACTATGACCGGTTTATGCAAGATTCATTCATCACTGGTTATATAGAACAAGAACAAGACAGTGTGATGTTGTGACCGCAAGAATCAAGCGTAAACTATGTGATGAAGTATATACGGCCACACTTTTACATTTTATCTCAGAGTGCCATGTGTTACAGTCTTTCAGACCACCTAGCATGAGGTACGGAGAATTATGCAACCCTTTCATATCATCTGATGTCTTAGAAGATATACTTATGTTGTATCCTAAATTTGGAATATAGTATCACGTGACTGCATATCAAATGTAGCAGTGCCTTTCCAAGCCTGAGGTCTATGCCGTCATGGCAGATGAGTAGTAAAGAACTGTGTAAGTGTTCTCATCATGATAATGTTACAGCCTAAAATTCAAATGCAATACCATTATATAATGTTATGTTCATGCATCAAATGTACCACAGCTTACCCACGCCTGTGCAGTTAGTCAGGTACATAGAAAACTACACTAAACAAACTAAACTAAAATCAACCGTCACAGCCTTATCAAACCGTTTAGCATTAGGTACAAAAAGATATTTCATGTCATCTATTATCCTAGAAGATATATTAATGCTATAGACTAATTCATAAAGTAATTATGGTATGACCGCAAAGCCTGATCAAGCTTGACAGAATAACAGTTGTCAGCCGAAGAGTTTGCAGATATTTATACTGCTGCATCCTGAATTAGTGATGTGATATTGTGTTATGATATTACGACCAAACATTTATATATATATATAAAAGCCTTCCTTCATCTGTAGACTTAGCCAAGAGGAAGAATAAAGAACTAAACTGCACTAAACCTCTTTCATGTTAATCCATCTAACGCCTAAAATGTGTACTTAACATCAATTGTAAAAATAACAATTGCAATGCAGACTCACTTTAGTGCGAGCTGTAAATAAGGATTTGAACATTTTTAGCTTTTATAACATGCCTGACGATTTTTAGGTTACAAAGACCAATTAAAA